AGCACAAAACAAACAATCAAAAGCAAACTTATTTAAAAGGATTATTTGAGGTTTAGATTTCATAATGTGCCTGCTTTTTCTCACTAGTTTTGATTTTTTTTCCGAATTATTTGAAGCACCATTTTTTCTTCTCCATTTCAATAACAAGGTCCTCTTTTGCACGTTATTTTTGTTCATAGAAGTCTCAAGCATCAGGGATCTGGTTAACCCCTTCAGTGGGCACCAAAGTCTTATTAGGGCAAAAGGAAAGCCTGACTGGCTTCAGGAGAGGGGAAGACGCTTCAGCGTTTTAACACAGCAGGCACTGGGTATGAGTGATGATCCAGTCCAACTGGGCATGCAGAGGAGGGGAGGGAGACCCTGTCAAAGAGACCGCCTCTACTCTAAGGTTCTCACACTCAGCACACCCTGCTTTGAGGACACAGGGCATCTTTTATTTTTACATTTGTCCACTCATCACATACTCACTGGGCACTGGGCGAGATGCTCTGCACGTTCCAGGCCATGTGCTAGGCCCTCGAGGATACAGAACACACAGTGGGTGGCTTTTCTGGGTCACAGCATCCTACGTGCCTCGTATACATTCTCTCTTAACCCTCACAGCAATGCTCCTCTGTTCCTCCCCCGAGATAGCTCTGGTCGTATACTACTGCAACTGTCAACGGTATGTCAGATTCATTTGTGACTGAGAGACACTGGGTATAATGGAAAGGGAAGTAGGCTCTGAAGTTAGACTGGTTTTTATTCAAATAATAGGGTCCCCACTGTAACGTTTTCTTTAGAGGCAGGATCTCTTTCTGTCGCCCAGGCTGGAGTGCAGTGGCACAACTGTAGCTCACTGCAGCTTTGAACTCTGGGGTGCAGGTAATCCTCCTGCCTTGGCTTCCCAAGTAGCTGGGACTATAGGCAAGTGCCATCATGCCTGGTGAATTTTTAAATTCTGTATAGAGATGGGGGTCATGCTACGTTGCCCAGGCTGGTCTTGAACTCCTAGCCTCAAGCAGTCCTCCCATCTCAGCCTCCCAAAGTGCTGGGATTATAGGCATGAGCCGCTGCTACCAGCCCCCACGGTCACTCTTGTCATGTCTGTGTAATTTTACCTCTTTGAGGCTCAGGTTTTTCATCTGTTGAATGGGAATAACAATGCTTATCTCACAGGATGGTATGAGAAGCAAATGAGGTAATGCACAGCAAGCATTTTTTATTTCTGTCCCATATAAATGTTCAGTAAGTGGTCTCTTTTTTTTCCTTAAGAGGGTAGGATCTTTACATAATTTATCTTTATATCTCTGCAGGGCCCAATACCTGGTAACACGTTCATGAGCTGTTGGTTGAGTGGATGAATGAATGAGTGAGTATGTGTTCTCTGAGCATGAGAACCTGGGCTCTACCATTCTTCACAGGTTTCTTCCTTTTCTGCCCCCCAGCAGCTGTGGGATGGGGAACGCTGTCTCCCTCAGCATGGCACCATGCCTCCAGCCAGTACCTAACTGGATCTGAGAGCCTGGGAACCCCTTGGCTCCACACCATGGAGGCATGAAAAGAAGACCCTCTGGCTTTTCTGCTGATACTCGGCAAAAGGAAGAATGACCACTCAACCACAGACTTCTTCTTTTGCTACTTAGTAGCTTCCTGAGTGGTCCTAAGAAGGTGGCTGTCTCCAGATGCCCCTCTCCTTGAGAATCAGGGGCTTGGACCAGCCTTGGGAAGGAGGCAAGAGCTGGGCCCTGGTTGGCACCAGCAGTGGCTCCTGAGACCATGGGCACAAAAGGCTTCCCATGCCTGGCTTTCATGCCCAGGCCCACTTCCTAGACCCCAGGCCCTGTTATTCCTTCCAGGAGTGATGAAAACTCCGAGGATGGAGGAAGGGGAGATTGGTGGTTGGACAGGAACCCTCTCTGCTCCAGTTCTATCGTCCCAGCACAGGCTCTGTGAGTGCCTCCTGCTGCTGCCATCCCCTCTGACTCCTGCCTCACGAGCCCCGCCCCCTCTGCGTCATGGAACAAGCAGTGTTTGGTGTAGCCTTGGATGGGGGAACAGCACCCTGGGTGAGGGGGTAGGAGGCTTGAGTTCAAATCTTGCCTTCCTTTGCTACTCCCTGGCTGTGGGAGTTCAGACAAGTCACTTTTGCTCTTGGGACCTCGGGGTGCTCATCTGTAAAAGCCGGTACTGCTGCCTACCTGGAAGGCCTGGCATGGGAATTTGCAGTGATATGTGCACACATGAAGTAATCTCAAAATGCTGTTACTATCGGCGATGACCACTCCACCTAGTCAGGGGCTGAGGTCTGGCGAAAGGCCGGGGAGATCCCAGCCCTGAATTTGCTTATCAGTATGTGCTAAAAATAAGTATGTTTCTCATTTCCATAGCTTGGTCAGCAGAATGCAGAGACCCTGGCAGACCCCAGAAAACCTCACCGGAGCTTGAACTTCGGACAGCCCCTGTGGATTCCGCTTACCAGGAGCAATTTAAGAGGCAAACAAAACATGAAAAACTACTCAGAATTAACAATGGGCCAGATGGTAATGCTAGTTTGCAGCAATAAAACATGATAAATAGCTTCCTGCTGCTACTCCTGATCAATTTCAATATTTAATAATTCCACGGCCACCCCCACCCCCTCATCTGGCCCCCTCCACAGGATCCTGGATGACTCCCCACATTCAGCTCACAGAGCAAACACTTCTCCGCTTTCTGAAGGCGTCAGCAGAAAGTGCCGCCGCTCCGTTGTCACATGAGCACTCTCAGCCCTCGAAATGATAATTAATCTGCCTACTTCTCCTGAAGACGAAGATGCTCCTTCTCATGCCTCTCCTGGTTGCCAGGGAGGGCTGTAAGGGAGCTGCCAACTGCAGAGATGCCACAGAAGCACTCACCTTGTTGATTCAATGACTGCTGGTATTTCCTGGGTTTTGCTTTTGACTTAAAGAAAGGGGAGCTGCAGGGAGCTTGATGGTGGTCTCACTGTAGGACCAGTTAGGGGGAGAAGGCAACCTGGAAGAGGCTCCGGAGGGTTGGTGTTTGAACCTTATCCACCAGCCATGCCTCTCTGGGCCTCAGTTTCCTCCTCTGAACAATGGAGCTAATCATATCTACCTCTAGGAGAATTCTAGCCGGTGCTGCATACGTAAAGTGCCTGCAGAGTGCTTGGCATATAAGGGCCAAGAACTGGCAGCCGGGAGCATCATTACTAAACAGGAAGCCAAGCTGCAAATGATGCCTGAGCACCGGTGCCCTGCAGGAAGAACCTGCTGTGTCTCTGTGGTTGGGAAGTTTCTGGCCTACATGGGCATAGGGCAGGATTGGCTAGGGGTACAGCAGGTGCCAGGCAGATTGCCCCCAGGATTCTCCCCAAGGGGTGTCCACTAATAAGATAAACTGCCTTGTGCCATCAGCAAGGACTCCAAAGACCTCAGCGCAGCCCTGGAGAGCAGGGATTGTTGGTGCCATTTTACAGATGAGGAACTGGAGATTAGGAGGTGGAATGGCTTTTCAAGCTGACAGAGGCAAGAAATGGCATAATCAGTTCTAATCTGGATCTCCCAATCTGACTTCATGTTGTCTCCACCAACTCACAGGACCAAGCTGCCCCACCCCTCACGACCCGGTGCCTCCCTTTTTGCAGGGAGGCAGCCGGAAGAGGAGGTGGCATGGGTGCCAGGGTGCTGCGGGCTCACGGTTCCTATGTGATCTCTGTCACCTGAGCTGGAGTTTACTCATCTGCGAAATGAGACTCATAATGCCTACTGAACTGGTTCATGGGGACATTTAATGAGGAAATATGCATGAAAGGACCTTGAGGTTTGGTGATGAGCTGGACAAATGTCAGTTATGGTTCTGATAATTTTTTTTAGAAAAACACCCTCTGGGCTGGATGCAGTGGCTCGTGCCTATAATCTCAGCACTTTGGGAGGCCGAGGCAGGCAAATCACTTGAGCTCAGGAGTTCAAGACCAGCCGGGCCAACATGGTGAAATCCTGTCTCTACTAAAAAAATACAAAATTAGCCAGGTGTGGTGGCTTGCACCTGTAATCCCAGCTACTTGGAAGGCTGAGTTAGGATAATTGCTTGAACCTGGGAGGCAGAGGTTGCAGTGAGCCAAGATCACACCATTGCACCACTCCAGCCTGGGCAACAGAGCAAAACTCCATCAAAAAAAAAAAAAAAAAAAAAAAAGAGAGAGAGAGAGAGAGAAACACCCTCTGTGAGGAAAAAGTTTGGAAACTCATCTACCTGAAGGTGGGTTCTTCTCACAGAATGCTTTGCCACAGAACCTAGAGGATCAAGATCAAATTTTCTTGTGTGGCATTCAAGGCTTTGACAGCTCCTGTAACCTCATCTCTACCCCTTGTCATGTCCCTTTTTGTTCCTCCCCACCTGGGCTACTTGGTATGGTGTAAGCTCAACAGCCTCTCCTGTGTCATGCCAAGGCCAAGCAATAGCCCTGCCAGAGTGTCCGTCCCAGCCCTGTTCACCATCTGATGCCACACACCCTTCTCCTGAAGTCTTCCTTGGTCCTCCCTGGATGAGGAGCTCCTCTGCTGGGTTCCTGGATAGCTCCTCTGAGCTGCCCTCCATCCCAGCCAGCACCCTACTACCTAGCATCATTTTCTCACCTGCCTCTCGATGCTATAGAGTTCCTTCAAGACGAGAACCAAGCACTACACCCTCCAGCCCACCCAGGGCTGGGCCCAGCATATGCTCAGGAAATGTGTGTGAGGGGTGAACGAATGGATGAATAACTGAGCATTCCCAGTATGGATGGAATCTGAGCCTTAAGCAAAGGCAAGGAATGGCCAGTGGTAGCACGAGAATTTGGAAGCATACAGTGCTCCAGGATTGAAATTCCGCTCAGTCCCTGGGATAATGTCTTGATCTGATGGGGTCATCTTCTTCCCCCGTCTGCACCCCATCTGGACCCTTGACAAGAAGGAACAGGAAATGTGCCACCCACACCTGTCAGGACCCCACAGGCCACGGCAGAGGAATGTTTCAGGTACCTGAGTCCCGCTGGTCCAGGGTCATGGAGTTCCACCTCCGTGTGATGTCAATGTAGAGGATGTCCACAGCAGCCATGGACAGGCTGCTGCTGCTGAGTTTGCAGTTCCTGCCAACAATGGGAAGTGACATGTCACTGCCAGGCTGAAGCCTGTCCTGTCTATCTCTCCTCCACTCCCGTTAGGGACTGAATGTTTGTCTTCCCCAAATCCATAGTTTGAAATCCTCTCCCTCCCACGTGATGGCATTAGGAGGTGGGGCCTCTGACAGGTGATTAGGTCATGACAGTGGCACCCTTGGGAATGGGAATAGTGCTCTTCTAGGAAGAGAGACTAGAGAGCTTGCTTCCTCTCTGCTCTCCACCATGTGAACATAGAGGAAGGTGGCTGTCTGCACACCAGGACGTGGGTCCTCACCAGACACTGGATCTACCAGCACCTTGATCTTGGTCTTCCCAGCCTCCAGAACCATGAGAAATAAATTGTTGTTTAAGCCACCTAGGCTGTGGCATTTTTGTTCTAGCAGCCTGAACGGACTAAGATATTGTCTTTGCTTGGATTGTGTTCCGGGTCTAGAATGTCCTCCCTTACCACAGCTGGAACTACTGAAGGGTGTCTGGCACAGAACAGTGGGAGAGACGGCTGGTGATGTAAGCAAGGTTAGATCCTTGCATTCCTGTAAGTTCAGCCATTTGGTTAGTTAGGGGTCTAATGGGCTGGAAAGAGCAAGAACTTTAGGAGAGCAAGTCTTTTTTTTTTTTTTTTTTTTTTTTTTTTTTCTGACATAGAGTCTTGCTCTGTCATCCAGGATGGAGTGCAGTGGTTTAATCTTGGCTCACTGCCACCTCCACTTCCCAGGTTCAAGCAGCTCTCCTGAGTAACTGGAATGATAGGCACCCACCACCATGCCTGGCTAATTTTTGTATTTTTATTAGAGACAGGGTTTCTCCATGTTGGCCAGGCTGGTCTCAAACTCCTGACCTCAGATGATCCACCCGCCTCAGCCTCCCAAAGTGCTGGGATTACAGGTATGAGCCACCACGCCTAGCTAGGAGGGCAAGTCTTGAGTTGTAGCCTGGCTCTGCCACTTGGAAGCAGCATGGCCCTGGTTAAACCATTTCACCTTCTTGAATCTTGGTCTCCTCACCTATAAAACAGGTGATCTTTATTACAGTCATTGTGTATCAGCCCGACCTTACATGGCAATGTGGGTCCCTGCCTGCTCCAAATGGGAACGAACTCCACACAAGAAATACCCCCATGCTCGTGTCCTCATCTTCCCATCTCATAGTCTCCAGGAGGGGGAGGGAAAGCTGGGCCCTCAGCACTGCCCTCTCCAGCCAGTGTCCAGGTGGCTGACAGTGTCATGCTCAGATGACCCGAGGATGACAGCATGTTACCAGTACAGGCTGAAGCCATCACTGCTGTCCAGGAGCAATTCCCCCTGGAAAGGCTCACCAGATGAGTCCCTGTGTACAAATCTATGGACAAGAGTTCAAGGCTTCTATATTTTACCCATCTTAATCTGTCACCAGATGATTCTACATAAGCCCCAGATCAGCCACACTAAGCCCAAGATTTATAGAGCAGAACAGCACAGGCTGGGTCCTCGCTCCTCTGTGTGGGCTGACGTGGCATCGCTGGGGAGGTTCCTTGTTCCTGACTTTAGGGGAGTCACCTGGAAATGACAGGAGGATGAAGGGGGCAGGCCTCTGAGCTTCGGATGTTCCGCTTGCTTAGGAGCAGGGAGGCCACAGTCACCAGGTTTTCAGTCTGAGGTCAGCATTGGGACTCCCTGTCTAGGTCACAGCAGGGGTGTTTAGAATCCTCCTACCCCTCCCCAGCCTTTTTTTGGTCTGGACATGTGAAGGGGACAGCAGCCTTGTATGCTGAAAAGAGCATGATTTAGGCATCAGACAGATTAGGATTTAAATCCTGACTGGAACGTTTTCTAGCTGTGTGACTGCATGGAATTTACTTAAACCTTCCGTGCTTTTATTTCTTGGGCTCCAAAATGAAAATGATAATACCTGCCCACAAGATTTCTGGGGCAATGAGTATATGCCAAGAACACAGCATGGTGCTTGTCGCCTGGTAGGTCCACAGCAATTGCGAGTTCCCTTCCACAACTCTCTCTCCCTTTTCCCTTTTCTTCTAGAGCCAGAACCATCCCACCCCAGAGGCTGCCTAGAGCGAAACTTTCAGTGAGTGACCCCGCCCATTCTGGAGAAATGGAGCGCACCAGCCGGAATGTCTGTGTACTGGGCTTGGGCTCTCTGTTCAGACTGGAAGCAGTCCTTGGCTTGTCTGGGTGCACCCCTGCTCTGGGCTGGATTTGTCCAGGGAATCCTGAAAGCTAGGCCTCTGGGCCAGCTGTCAGGTTGGCTGAACTACATTCAATGCTGCTTTCAACTTTTCAAATGAATCCACATCCCCTGCCTCAGCTAATGATGAAGTGGCTCTTTGATTTCCTATTTGTCATTATCTCCTGTGTGAATAGCTCTGTTAGGGACCAGACAGGGGAGGGGTTGATGGGCAAGCAGGGTTTGGGCATCAGAGGCCCCTCTCCAAACCCAAGCACACCCCTAACGACAGCGGCTGGGCATGTGCCCAGCATGGTGCCCAGACGAGGCTGCTGCTCCTTGTATGCCAGCACACTTTCTCGCCCCCTTCCTCCCTCCTTCCTTCCTTTCTTCCCGCCTGTATTTCCCAGGCCGTCAATGCACATCCTGCTTCCTCCTGGGCTCCTGTTCCGTATTTCAATCACAAGTCACGGCGGCAGACTTCAAAGCACATCACCACACAGTTATTGGGCCCCAGTAACCACTTGTCAATGGACACCGAGGTTTTCACGTCACTTGTCGCCAAGACGGCTACCTAGTGGGTTCTGTGGGGCATGATGTCCCAGTCTCTCCCTAGGTATTCCAGCAGCCTGCATTGCTAATTCACAAAGCTTCATTAGGAATGGCCACAGTGTCCTCTAATTATCATATCAGTGTCCTCTGGGCTACCTGCTCTTCCACAAGACAGGAGGAAGCCCTGCCTGGCTTGCTCTGTGGGTTAATGGAGTATTAAAAGGGGAACCAAACTGACCACTGGTATATAGTTATTATTTTTTTTGTTTTCTGACAGGTAGAAAATAGAAGTGTCAAACCTTTAGCAGGAGCCATAATTTACCAAAAAAATTCTCCATTTATTCGCTTTCCAAGGTAACTCTTTCTCCCTAGTGATGCCTGCAAATAGAGTTGATTGCAGCGTCTGCTGCTGGGACAGAGGAGGGATCCATGCTGGCTGCGGTAGGCAGGAAATGCAAATGCTTTAGAAGAATTTTGATACTGTAGGCATTTCTTGGGCACCATCTGTATGCCAGGGCTTTTCCTGCTTATTAGCTGTCTGGATTTTAACCATTCTTTAAGGGTGGTATTCCTAGTCCCATTTTGATGAAGGGTATGCTAAGGCTCAAGAGACAGGACGTGACTTGCCCAAGGTCACATGGCCGGAATTCACATCTAGTTCTCCCTTGGATGGTAGAGTAGTAGGTTTGGGAGTTGTGGGGAGGTGGCCTAGTCCAGGGCTGCAGGAGGAATTCAGGAATCAAGAAACCAGGTCTCAGGCCAGGGACCAGTAGGGTTGGGGCCTCTAAAGCACTCCTGTTGCAAGCTTTGGGATATGGGGCTCGGGCTGAGAGTCCCATACCATGGATTTGCCCTGTGGTTACCAAACATTCTCCATAAACTCAAACAGGAAATGAATGACTTCAACAATCAAGATATCAAGACTTTGAAATGAATTTTTCATCCCATCTGTCACTTAATGTGAATGTATTTGTGCCGTCTCTGTGGAGGCAGTATTCTGAGCAGTGAAGAGCTGAATGGGCCTTGGATACCGCTCTCAGAGACTGTACGTGATCTCAGAGTCTGGGGTAAAAATGTGAAGCCTTGGTGGCTCCTAATCATTGAGAACAGTTTTCTCTTATGCCTGGGGATGCAGTTCTTAAAATGGCCCATAAATTCTTCAGTGGAAGAAAAGTCCAAGAAATAGGGTACCATGAGAAGCCAGAAAAGTTTCTAGGAAAGGATGGGTTAGAAATGTACATGGAAAAGACTAGCTTTGGAGGCAAATGCACATGAGTTTGATCTTGGCTTTGCTGTGTGACCTTGTGTAAGTCACGGAGGCTGTCTACATTGACATTAGGAAACTGAGATTTGTACCATGAGGATAAAGCCGCTCACCATACAAGGCTCTTTCAAGGACTAGCTCAGTGCCTGGTGCACATGGGGAAGTGGCAAATGGCAGTTCCCATCCTTCCTCTCTGATGCAGAACCAGTTTCAAGAAATAGTCTGGATTTTTTTTTTTTTTCCAGAATTAAAGGAATTTGGGCACATATGATGGGAAAGACTCACAAATCATTTAAGTTCATTAGGAGTCCAAGTATAGAAAGATTTGAAATGATCATTCTCATTTCCTCTTAACTACTGACATCTCATGGGAAATATAGGAACCAACTTTTTCCACTCCATAAAATCCTATTTATAGAATTTCTTTTGTATTTCTCCTTCTCTGTTCAGAAAAGAAGCTTCTTGATTTTTTATTTTTCTTTTTCTGGAGAGGGTTCTATAACATGAAAGCTAACAAATGATCTATATTTACTTTTTTAAAACCACACTACATAAACATCTGGTGGGGGAGTGGCAAGGAGACAACTCCAGTTTAAAATTTATGGCTTCGAAAGGCCATTGATATCCAAAGCATGCAATATTGCTGGAAAGGGATGATCACAGAAGTGGGGGAGATTATCAGATCACTGAAGAGTTAATGACAGAAGGGGAAGCAAGGCCTCTTACGCTCCTATTCTAGAGCATTCTAACACACAATGTTGCCTCTCAGAGACTAAAACCCCCCGCAGCTACCCTTTATGAAGCAGGTTAATATCTCCTTGTGATAAAAGGGAGTGGAAGGGGAAAGGAAAAAGGAAGAAAAACCTTCCCCTCATTCAGGAGACCCAGGATCACAAGTCACCCCGTGGGAGAATCTCACAGGAAGAAAATGCTCGTGGTACAGAGAAGCGGCTGCATTTCCTAGAAATAAAGCTGGTTTGGCAAACTGCTT